CCTCCTGCAGCGCCTCCAAGAGCACTAGCAGGGAGGTGTCCGCTACCGACTAGAACTGCCTGATAAACGTTACCGCTTCCGGCTCCACCTCCGACGCCGCCGTGGCCTCCGACGCCGCCGTGGCCTCCGGCCCCACCTCCGACGCCGCCGTGGCCTCCGGCCCCACCTCCGACGCCGCCGTGGCCTCCGGCCCCACCTCCGACGCCGCCGTGGCCTCCCGCTCCGCCGAGCGCGACGCCCAAACCAGAGTCGCCTCCAGCACTGTAGCCTGGCAGCTTCGCCGCAGACACCATGATCACCATAGCCAGTGCAGAGACGCCGCGCAGCTGTTGTTAGCGAACGATAAGTTAACAGACATTTTAAAAAGGCACACATACAAATGCAAGGACAAACAGACAAGCGTTTATATATATGTATATATATATATATATATGTGTGTGTGTGTGTGTGTGTGTGTGTGTGTGTGTGTGTGTATGTATGAATATAAATATATATATATATATATATATATATATATATATATATATATATATATATATATATATATGATATATATAATTGTCCATCCATATATATTAACATTCATATTCATAAATCTACAAATGTTCAAATAGTTCAAGTCATTTACATCTACAGTAAGACCATTAAGTATTAGTAGCATCCACCTACCATATTAAACATGGGATTCATGACTAATCTCCTTCTGCCAAAGTACTTGTGGTTTGACCCAACACAAGCGGTGAAGTGTGACAAGGATTGCCCTGAACGAGGTATTTATACTTGATCATACTGGATGAACAAGGTCGAAAAGTTACTAGATTTCACTTTACGGCATTTTTGACGTTAGCCCTTTGTGATTTCCGTGAGTAAGATTTTAACAATGGGGTTAACGTAGTGTGATTCATATATGTGTATATAAGTAAGTGTACATATGTAAGAGAGTAAATGCATGAAAATACATACGACTGCACAAACATACTCGTTTTGTGTTCGTGTGTGCTATGGCTAAATCAACTAGGATCTTGAGAGTAGGATTGATATTTATATAAATATAATGTGACAAAACAGTACATATGTTTATCCATATTTGTTATAAACAAGATCATTAAAATAGTTTTACGAAGAAAGTTCACACAAACATTACTAACCCGCCTATTTAAATGAGGACCATAGAAATCATCCATACTAATAATAACGGTAAATAACGTCATGTTGATAAGGAATATACACAGAAAAAAAAACTTACGGACACATACATGACAACCTTCCATTTTTTTCTTAGTGACAGTTTTGCTCTCTTACCTTTCCTGTGCAAAGCTTCCAAGGTCTTTACATTACATACATATACGAGAGGAAGTACTTTTTGTTAGCATTTCTTGGTAAACTCAGTATATCTTTATGGTTGTTTTAATAATCACGTTGTTATTTTCATAATCACATTGTTAAAATAAGTATTATTGTTATTATCATTATCATTATCATTATCAATATTACATCATTATCATTAGCGTTATCATTATTAATATTATCATTGTTATTATTATTATTATTAGCTTTAATTATATATATTTCCCTTTATATTTATATTAATGCTACCATCATAATCATCAATCTTTATCTTTTCCGCAACTATTATGATTATTAGTATCAATATTATTATCATTATTATTATTATAATCATGATTCTTCTCCCCATTCTAACTTCGTGGACAAAGCATTATTTTCTGTTTGGTTCTCCCCTAATAAAGAAAGCAAGAGGAAGAGAGAGAGAGAGAGAGAGAGAGAGAGAGAGAGAGAGAGAGAGAGAGAGAGAGAGAGAGAGAGGAAAAGATAAACACAGACACAAGGGAAAAAAAAATACTAACGAAGCAGACGGTGAAGGACAAACCTTGGATGCTGAAAGTGACCTCGCCCAAGGTCAGGTAAGATCAGGTGGCAGAGGGAGATGGGAGGGCAAGTTGGGAACGAGGTCAGGCGAGGTTACCTTCAGAAAGCAATGTTAGTTGATGTCGACATTGACCATCCTTTTTCTTTCTTTTTTTACCTTCTTTCTAATAATGGCTTGCAAAAGCATTTTATTGCAGGCGAATTCGATTTAGCATGTATTAAGAGTTAGAGTTGGGAGTTTTTTTCTATGATTTTTTTTTCGTGAATTCTAACGTGTCTGTACAGTTTAGAAGCAGCTTTGGAAATTAAGCGGGGATATGTACGAAAATTTGTTTTACGTTTTATTTTCTTTTTCCTTTATTATCTTTTTTTTTTTTGCCTTTCCTAATACTGACCTTGTGAAATCAAGAACAATTTCTTTATGATAATCCTAAAGCATGATTTCTTCAGCTTTAATGAAGGTAATCTCACTATGAATATTTCTTACATTACTAATAAAAAATTATTCACCTATTTGCAAGAAAAGAAATCTGGTGTTCTCAATATAATTCAACGGATACATTGCCAGTGATTCCTATGGCACAAAGCCTGAATGGGTAGCTTGGTGAATAGGGAATTGGTATGGGTGGCTTCACTGAGGCAGTTGTAAACCTCTCTAACGGTGATATAGATTAGAACGGGCCTCGCAGGAAGAAAGGGAGCAAACGTTAGTGCATTCTTCTTTAACGGTTACAGCAGGAGACACGACAGAAGCTTGGCTCAATGTACTCCTGGCCCTTTATTCTTCAGCTGGGGTAAAAGTATCAACGCCGATGTCTGGGTCACTGTGCAGTAGTCTTCGAAGTTGACAACAGGTACGTCAGGCCATCGGGACCAATGCTTGGCCCAGGGTATGCAACAAAGCAACAATACCGCCGACATAATCCTCTACAGAATCTCCGAGGGAAAACTTCAGTGGCGCCTCCAATAGTAATAGCAAGGAGATTTCCGCTGCAGATGGAAACGCTGCCCTTTCCTCCCCACCTCTACCGCCACTAGGGGATCTTCCGCCTCAGAATGCAACGCCCAACCTTCGGGCGCTACACTCACACACACACACACATACACACATATACAAACACACACACACACACACACATACATACACACACAAACACACACACTCACTCACTCACATATGTGTTCGCGCGCGCGTGTGTGTGTCAGTGCGCATGTGCACATACATGCGTGTGTCGTATATATTTATATATTTGAAATTTACGTTCCTGTTTACGGTTATAATTCATCGATTTTCACGTCCCTTCATGAAAACCTTTGAAAATTGTGGACCACATCCAAGAGTATGCTGGTTAATATAATCGAAAATAGATATTCATTTTAACACATGGCGGGTCATTTAAATTAACGGTACGTATATTATGGATGCGTAAATTTTGTTCCTTCGATTTTTTAAAAAGTTAAAATATTAGGCTCATTTTTGCAACGGTTGAGCCTATTATGAAAAAAAAAAAACCTTTATTTTCAAATACGGCATATGTATGGACCAACAATTTACAAAGGTATGTGTAATACAAATCAAAATGAAGATTCATAAAGAAGTTTTTTATTTATTGTAGTTTATAAATATGTGAATAAGCTTCACGGTGATAAATAAATGCTTTCTGTGAAGCAGTTTAACATATCTGATCAGCATAAGGCTTTAGTGGTTTGGTGAGCTGTATTCGTCAGCAGGGGGGCTGACGTGGGCGGCTTCATTGGGCCCAGTGTACTCCTCATCAACGGTTGGAACGGGGGCAACGGGAGCGACGTCAATGCTTGGTCCGCTGTACTCTTCGTCAACAGTCACAGCAGAAGAGTCAGCGGAACCGTGACCAGCGTCAATGCTTGGACCAGTATATTCCTCTTCAACAACAGGGTCAACGGGACCAGTACCTGGGCCAGTATATACCTCTTCTACGGTAACAACAGGGGCAACGGGACCTGTGCTTGGCTCAGAGTATTCCTGTCCAACAGCGCCGCCGCCAATACCTCCGGCAGCGCCTCCAATAGCACTAGCAGGAAGGTTTCCGCTGCCGACGAAAACGAACGGGAAAACGCTTCCAGCCCCTCCTGCGCCGCCGCCGTGGCCTCCTGCGCCGCTGAGATCGACGCCCAAGCCAGAGTCGCCTCCAGCACTGTAGCCTGGCAGCTTCGCAGCGGACACCATGCACACCAAACCCAGGATAGAAACGCTTCGCAGCTGTTGGTAAAAAACGTGAGATAGATTATTATTTTGAACGAATACGCAGGAAGATCAAATATTTAAACATACAAAATTACTTATGAGACGGATGATATGAATTATTTCTTTTCTCACCATATTCATGGTTAATAAGATTTGCTTTGCTTTTGAATGGGAGGAAAGACCAGACACAAACGATGAAGTGTGACACTGCCTGAACTCAGCCAGGTATTTATACTTGCTTGTACTTTTGGCACAAGGTCAAGCAGATGCAAGATTTCACTCTTTAATGTTGTTCTTACATCTTTGAATGACTCCGACAAAGACTAGTACCTTGTTGCTATGTAATTGTCTCTTCCAGATATGTGGAATATAAATATATAAGCATATGTATGTATATATATCTATATGTATATACATGTATATAGGTATATCTGCTTATATGTATATGAGTATATCTACTTATATGTATATAGGTATATATATATACTTTTTATACACACACACACATATGTATATATTTATTTATGCACATACACACATATATATACATGGGTATATACATGTGTGTGTGTGTGTACACGTATGTACAGCATATTTATATATATGTAAGTATATGTGTATCAATATATAGATACATGCATATATATATTAATACACACACACACACACACACATATATATATATATATATATATATATATATATATATATATGCAATATATATACATATACACGAATTATGTATACATAGTATATATATATAATATACATTATGTATATTATACATATATATATATATATATATATATATATATATATACATGTGTGTGTGTGCACATACATACACATATATATGGGGGCGAGAACAAGAAGGGCTAGTGTATTAAAAGTCAATGATGAGAAAAACGCAAATGGGAGTTTTTTCAAACTGTGTTGCTTTACTCTTATCCTTTTCACTTTACGCAATGAAAATACCAAATATTTTTTCATTGTTAAAAAAAAACAAACTTTAATATGTTTTTTTATATTGTAATACTTCCAGAATAAGCCTTGTAAAATATTATTTTCGGAGATATATTGCTGTCGATGTTTAATTCGCTTCCTAATTTTTCTACCATTTTATGGCTTGAAATATCAATACGTAGACTTCCTCTGACAACAATTCTTTTATACATTCACAATTTTTTTTCTTTCTGTAACTGTGAAATAAATTATTTGTATACTAAAAATGGCGTATAGACTTCAAGGAAAATATAGTTTAGTAAAAGTGGTCAACCTGAAGCTTTCCGTTCCCATGCAGTCAAATTGTAGCCATTTGTGTCAATCAGTCATGTGTTAGGTGGTTGGCTTTTTTAAAATAAACATTTTTGGATATATATATTATGTATATATATGTATGTATATACTCACATATATTTATAATTGTATATATATGTATATATGTATATTATGTAAATACACACACACACACACACACACACACACACACACACACACACACACACACACACGCGCACACGCACACGCACACACACACACAAATGCGTTCGTATGTTTTATCTTTAGCACATACATGCTATAGTCTACACGGGGACGAAGACTTCACCGAAGGAAAAATCTGCAAGAGGTGATAGCCGAAGTAGGTAAAAACATAAACCATAAAAACAAAAAGTATTTATCTTCTAATAGGCCTACGGAGACTTTAGACATAAGATTTACAGTGTGTTATTATTTATTTGTATTTCTTGTGGAAATATCTAAATTCTCGTAATATTCTTACTGATAGATTTCTTTTCATCATTTCTGTCTTAAATTTCATTATTTTAATCCTAAATATTTTAATCATTTCTAATTACAGTATTAACAATATCATGATCATCTCTGTTAGCATTATGCTTGTCATCAATCATATTTATGTTCTCATTTTTTCATAGATATTATCTATCATCGTAATCATGGTCCTAACCATCGTTGCCTTTAATGGAAATAACAGGAAATAAACCTGAATTCTTTTGTAATTTATAAAACGAGGATTCCCAACATCTTATGGAATCCAAAAAACAAAACAAAACGGAGGATACATAATATACAAGTAACAGAAGCACTCGCAGTCACACCATGGCTTGCACATATGATCAAGAAGGAGCTAGAAAGATTGTGTATGCGTTTGGTTGTGTGTTTATCCGTATCTACAAAAAAGTGAAAATGCACTCAAAGCACTCAAATGATGATGAAATAATTACATATATAAACTACACAGTAAATACTACAGTTTTAAAGATCGTATAATAGAAAAATGTTGGAACTAAAGTTTTTCCTAATTAGGACTATTTTGCCATATGAACCATATGGCGATTGACATTCCGTGACGGCATCGATGTCATTTCCCTACCGATGTCAGTAACGTAACACAAACAAAAAATGAAATGTGCATATGAACACCTTTTTAAATAGGATTTGTCTGATTCATTTCAGTCGGTTCATTCCTTGTTTGATGGCCATATACTTTCTAATTTTATAGAATGTATCTGAATGAACTTTCAATGTTTGCAAAAGTTAAAGAATGACAAGCCAAAACTTGTTGCTCTATGAGGTTATCTTTCTTTTATCAGAACATCGGGGCATACTTAGTTTCACAATGATAGAGCTAAATCTTTGTAAAGAGAGACCACCAGCAACTGCAGATCACATTTATCAAAAAAAATATTGTATATTCAACTGTATTCCGTAATTAACCACATAATTACTCTAAAGCACTGGTCAATAATAAAAAAAAAAGTTGACGGAAGAACGTTTCGGACATGCATCATTAGTCTGCAACAGGTCGTGCAAGTTCAACTTCAGTATGACTGGTTAATATTCGTGAACTAGTATAAAGGTTACTTCCTTGGCCAAGTAAGATGGACCTAGTGGAGATGTAAACCTTAACTGTAATAGAGTCTTTGATTCATATCTGATGGAATTACATTTCTTAGACTGGCATTTGTGATAGTCGAATCTGTTATAAAGTTGACTTTTTGCTTTAATTATATCTGTTTTCATTCATGATTTATAAAACTCTCTCTCAAATCATACTTTTAATTTATATATATATTTTTTGTACGTACAATCTAGAGTGGGCTTGAATGTGGAACGTAAACGCCACAATAGCTCCAACAGCATAAAGTTTTAGTGGTTTGGAGAGATATATTCGTCAGCAGGGGGGCTGACGTGGACGACTTCGTTGGGCTCACTGTACTCCTCATCAACGGTTGGAACGGGGGCAACGGGGACAACGTCAATGCTTGGTCCGCTGTACTCTTCGTCAACAGTCACAGCAGAAGAGACAGCAGAGCCGTGACCAGCGTCAATGCTTGGACCAGTATATTCCTCTTCGACAACAGGGTCAACGGGACCAGTACCTGGGCCAGTATATACCTCTTCTACGGTAACAACAGGAGCAACGGGACCTGTGCTTGGCTCAGTGTATTCCTGTCCAACAGCGCTGCCGCCAATACCTCCGGCAGCGCCTCCAATAGCACTAGCAGGAAGGTTTCCGCTGCCGACGAAAACGAACGGGAAAACGCTTCCAGCCCCTCCTGCGCCGCCGCCGTGGCCTCCTGCGCCCCTGAGATCGACGCCCAAGCCTGAGTCGCCTCCAGCACTGTAGCCTGGCAGCTTCGCAGCGGACGCCATGCACACCATAGCCAGCACGGAGACACCTCGCAGCTGTTGGAAATAACGTTAGTAAACTTACTAGTTACTTTAAGTGAATCAAGACACCCATATGTACAGCTTGTATAGCTTAAATTTTAAATGATTAGAAACTTATATTCACAAGGCAAAAGCTGATAGCGATATTCTCATTTCTCACCATATTCATGACTGAAAGTTATAAGATCTGTATAAGAGGAAAGGCCAGGCACAAATGATGAAGTGTAGCACTGCCTGCCCTAAGCCAGGTATTTATAAGCTTACTTGTCTGTACTTTTAGCACAAGGTCAAGTACATGCAAGATTTCACTTTTGTTGTTTTTATTCAGCCTTTGAATGACTTCGACGAAACATTATAACAGCAATTTCCTATTACGAAATAGTCATCAACTCAATCGATGATTGTTTCCATACTTATATATATTTTTAAAGACATGGTGAGTGCATAATAGTAGAATGGCGACTACAGATCGTAGACATTTTTTTCAAGTGAGAGAGAGAGAGAAAGAGAGAAACAGATATGCAGAAGGAAATGGATAAAAAATATATATATATATATATGTTGTAAAGTACCTGAAGTCCTAGACTCATTGGCGTCGTAAATGCCATTTTCGTTTGTCCTTCCCATTTTTAATATAAGGCCAAGTACCATAAGATATATGTATATCACATATGCCTATGTGTTTATGTGTGTATGTAGGTATAAGTTTAGAGAGCAATACAAGTTATATATTGAAACATCAGACATTATTTTGCTTTCGATTACTACTTTTGAAGGTCATTCATAAAACTTGCTTCATTTCACTCTCGGGATCATCATAAAAGAAATCTATTTATTCAAGTTTGTTCATCTTGAATATTAATTTTAAGCACATTCATTGTTATTACATTTTTATCGTCTGGATATGTAAATAGCTGCCAACATTACATTAAATCTATAAATAAAAATAAAGTAACTAATTAGCATCTGTTTGTTCCATTCCTTTAATATTTTACTTATGGTACCATTGTTATCGTTATAAGTGTTATTATTTTCATGATTACTGTTACCATCATAATTAACATTACGTATTATTATCATTCTCATTTTCGTTTTCATTTTCATGATCCTTATCATCAATGTTATTGTTATCATTATTATTTTCATGATGATCATTATTAGTGTCATTATTATTACTATTATTATTATTATTGTTATTATTATTAATATTATCATTATCATCATCTTCATTACTATTACTGTTATTGTTAATTTGATAATCATTACAGTCATTATCAGTAATATAGTAATAGTAGTATTATTGTTATGGCGTTGATAACGACAGAAGTACTATAGCCGTATTTTCCTGAAAAAGTACCACAAGTAACCGTGTGTAAATAGTGAACATTTAATTCGTACATGTTATCCCACCATTAACGTCAACGGTAAGATTTTGCATTTATTGTGTTTCGATCTTGTTTAGACCCGTAAAACGTGGTTTGAAAATATTTTGACAGCATTCTTTTGTTTTTTTCTAAATTCCATTATCTCTTTGATGATCATTGGTATTACTAACAAATTCTAACAAGCAGATTTTTTTTTTCATTACTGTTCATTTCGTCGCAGTGTAAACACACACAAATACATATATACATACATACATACATACATACATACATACATACATACATACATACATACATACATACATACATACATACATACATACATACATACATACATACATACATACATACATACATACATACATACATACATACATACATACATACATACATACATACATACATACATACATACATACATACATACATACATACATACATACATACATACATACATACATACATACATACATACATACATACATACATACATACATACATACATACATACATACATACATACATACATACATACATACATACATACATACATACATACATACATACATACATACATACATACATACATACATACATACATACATACATACATACATACATACATACATACATACATACATACATACATACATACATACATACATACATACATACATACATACATACATACATACATACATACATACATACATACATACATACATACATACATACATACATACATACATACATACATACATACATACATACATACATACATACATACATACATACATACATACATACATACATACATACATACATACACACACACGCACACGCACACGCGCACACGCACACATACACACACACACATACATGTATAAAATAAAATGTATAAATAAATATCTATGTATCTATACATAAATTAATATCTAAAGAAAAGAATCATAAAACACGATGTTTTGAGTCTGATAAGGAATCGCACACACATATAAACTAGACAACAAACACAATTGGAAAGACCGATGTAAGTTACTTTAGACCCTAAAAAATTACCACTTGAACATTCAATCACTTTGGGTATGAACATTATCTTTGAAAAAAAAAAAAAAAAAAATATATATATATATGTTGAAAGTACCTGAAGTCGCTAGACTCATTGGCGTCGTAAATGCCATTTCGTTTGTCCTTCCCATTTTTAATATAAGGCCAAGTACCATAAGATATATGTATATCACATATGCCTATGTGTTTATGTGTGTATGTAGGTATAAGTTTAGAGAGCAATACAAGTTATATATTGAAACATCAGACATTATTTTGCTTTCGATTACTACTTTTGAAGGTCATTCATAAAACTTGCTTCATTTCACTCTCGGGATCATCATAAAAGAAATCTATTTATTCAAGTTTGTTCATCTTGAATATTAATTTTAAGCACATTCATTGTTATTACATTTTTATCGTCTGGATATGTAAATAGCTGCCAACATTACATTAAATCTATAAATAAAAATAAAGTAACTAATTAGCATCTGTTTGTTCCATTCCTTTAATATTTTACTTATGGTACCATTGTTATCGTTATAAGTGTTATTATTTTCATGATGATCATTATTATTGTCATTATTATTACTATTATTATTATTATCATTGTTATTATTATTAATATTATCATTATCATCATCTTCATTACTATTATTGTCATTATCAGTAAAATAGTAATAGTAGTATTATTGTTATGGCGTTGATAACGACATAAGTACTATAGCCGTATTTTCCTGAAAAAGTACAAGTAACCGTGTGTAAATAGTGAACATTTAATTCGTACATGTTATCCCACCATTAACGTCAACGGTAAGATTTTGCATTTATTGTGTTTCGATCTTGTTTAGACCCGTAAAACGTGGTTTGAAAATATTTTGACAGCATTCTTTTGTTTTTTTCTAAATTCCATTATCTCTTTGATGATCATTGGTATTACTAACAAATTCTAACAAGCAGATTTTTTTTTTTTTTTTTTTTTTTTTTTTTTTTTTTTTTTTGAAACCAACGCTTATATCAATCTGTTTGTCGTATATTTCAAATTTGTATAATTTGAAATTGTATACAGATTCTTATGTTGAATTAAAGGCTGCCAAATTTTAGTTTACTAATGTTCCTCTTAATTCGAACTAACTTTTTCTCTCAGAAGCGTAAACCATAACCTCTATAAACCACACTAAGAGGAGATGCAAAACATTAATCTGCATATACACCCGCAAATACATAGATCATTTTTCAGTTATAAAAAAAAAAAAAAAGAAAAGAAAAGAAAAGAAAAAAAAAAACATCAGTGCTTTGTAAACATATGCTGTATGTTCGAAGCACTGTGTATACACAAATCTATTTTTTCAAGGAATTCTTACCAAATGGATTTTCTAATAATTTCTCATAGATAGATTTCATTATCATTAGCATAATTTTTGCCATATATATTATAAACTGATGAGCATTCAATGTCTATCCCTATATATTTTTTGGAAAGGAAGGATGATCATGGCTTTAATAAAACTAAATTTAATAAATAAGTATTTATTACATGAATACTGATCTCTTTGAAGCAATGTCATACTAATTCCAACAGCGTAAAGCTTTAGTGGTTTGGTGAGCTGTATTCGCTAACAGGGGGGCTGACGTGGGCAGCTTCGTTGGGCCCAGTGTACTCCTCATCAACGGTTGGAACGGGGGCAACGGGAGCATTGTATTCTTCGTCAACATTCACTACAGGAGAGACGGCAGCAACGGGGCCAGCGTCGATACTTGGCCCAGTGTACTCCTCTTCAACGGCAACGACAGGGTCAACAGGACCAGTGCTTGGCCCAGTGTATTCCTCTTCTACAGTGACAACAGGAGATACGGCGGCAACTGGGCCAGCGTATTCTTCATCAACGGTAACAACAGGGGCAACAGGACTAGTGCTTGGTCCAGTGTACTCCTGTCCAACAGCGCCTCCGGCAGCGCCTCCAATAGCACTAGTAGGAAGGTTTCCGCTGCCGACAAAAACGAATGGGAAAACGCTACCACTTCCAGCCCCTCCTGCGCCGCCGCCGTGGCCTCCTGCGTCGCTGAGATCGACGCCTAAGCCAGAGTCGCCTCCAGCACTGTAGCCTGGCAGCTTCGCAGCGGACACCATGCACACCATAGCCAGCACGGACACATCTCGAAGCTGTTGGTAATACAGTTATATAGTTAATAAAGACATACACTACAAATATAGCTCACTTTTTAATAGTTCACTAATAATGTTTCTCGTAATATAAATACTGATATCGAGACTCTCGTTTCTCACCATATTCATGATTGAAAAGTTAACCTTGCTCGTAAACTAGAGGAAAGACCAGACACAAAAGATGAAGTGTGACACTGCCTGAACTCAGCCAGGTATTTATACTTGCTTGTACTTTTACCACAAGGTCAAGCAGATGCTAGATCTCACTTTTAGTGTTTTTTCTTTCCATTTTTGAATGACCGGTATAGCAAGGTTAGACAAGGTAGTTTCCTGTTACTAAGCATTTAAAGAATGAGTTTTTGTATGCTGAGCTTTTCACGAGGAAGACACAAGATACCTGAGAAGTGTCTGTAATAGATGATCATAAAATGAAAAACACCCACACTAAGAAATGAATACTATATCGTTAAGTTTCGAATTAGACTAGGCTCTTTATTACAGTTTCGTCTGAAGAGAAATCCGGCCAGGTTCGAAATGTTTAAATATTCCTAGTTAGGGACCGTTTTATTACACCTTTGGAAACACAGTGGTGTCTATATTTTTACTGAACAGAATGAGAGACGTATTTACCTTAAGTACGTAAGAAAAGGTACGCGAAGATAAAGCAATAATTATCTACATAATTAGACGAAGAACTTAATATTAATGGAGCAGAAGCGTGAACAGAAATGGAAGTAATTGCTACTTGGCAGCAATTTTATGACAAGTAAAAATTAACTAAAAGAACTAACCAGTTGCCTAAAGTTATCTTTAATTGCTGTTCTCTTTGTTATTATTGTTTCATGGTCATCATCAATGTTTTCATCATCAGAATTATGATTAAAGATATGGTTGTTATTGTCATCATCACCAACTCTGATACTACAATTACGTCTTCCTTATGTTTTACTGATTTAGTAAATGCTATCCTTTTCACCATCATTTTTTTTTTTTTTTTGTAATGAACACAACAATAATAGCAATATGATAATTTCATTATCCGTGGATTATTTATTATTACTATTATCATCATTATTTTGTAATGTCAAATCTTACTCAAATGTTATGTGTAAAAAATAGCACATTTCGTTTCATATAGGGAGGTTTAGATTAGACGTGACTTGTGCCAGAAGATTTTTTTTTACATAAATAGGTGAATTTTTGTTTATGTTTCCTTAAAACCCATCTACTACATTTTTTAGCCAATAGTTAGCATCAATCAAACTTTTATTTTAACCTTTATATAAATGAATATGTACAGTCTTTGGCGTTCATTGAAACATAAATAAACAGTACTTTAATACTACTGTTTTCCTTTTTAATATTTACTGAATTGTTTATATAAAATATCTTAAATTTTATAATCGGCACTAAGCAATGATACAAAGTAACGTAGCCTGCATGAAGGCTGGTAAACGAGAAATAGGCTTCATGCATTTGACAATCAGTAATGCTATTTTAGAATTTAGGACTTTATATCTGGGTATCAGTTCTTCAACTGATTTCTTTCCCATTCTTTACTAATTACTTCACTTAGATATGCAAAATCCTGTAAATGTTCATGTTTGTCTTGTAAATGATTACCCTTGTTCATTTTGGTAACCTGATTTCCATTTTTGTTATCAAGGCCATTACAATTACTAGTATTACATAAAAAAAAAAGTTTCTATTATCAACAAATAATTTGTTGCTTCAATAAAACTAAGTATATAATAAGGTTGTGTTTATTTAATTAATATTAGACTTCAATGGAGAACTTGATATAGAAAAACAAACTCAATGGAGCAATGGCACACTTGTTCCAGCAGCATAATGCTTTAGTGGTTTGGTGAGCTGTATTCGCTAACAGGGGGGCTCACGTGGACGACTTCGTTGGGCCCAGTGTACATCTCATCAACGGTTGGAACGGGGGCAACAGGAGCATTGTATTCCTCGTCAACGGTCACCACAGGAGAGACGACAGCAACGGGGCCAGCGTCGATACTTGGCCCAGTGTATTCCTCTTCAACGGCAACGACAGGGTCAACAGGACCAGTGCTTGGTCCAGTGTATTCCTCTTCTACAGTGACAACAGGAGATACGGCGGCAACTGGGCCAGTGTATTCTTCAACGGTAACAGCAGGGACAACAGGGGCAACGGGACCTGTGCTTGGCCCAGTATACTCCTGTCCAACAGCGCCTCCGCCAATGCCTCCGGCAGCGCCACCAAAAGCACTAGCAGGAAGGTTTCCTTTGCCAACGAAAACGGCCTGGAAAACGCTACCGCTTCCAGCCCCTCCTGTGCCGCCGCCGTGGCCTCCTGCGCCGCTAAGATCGACGCCCAAGCCTGAGTCGCCTCCAGCACTGTAGCCTGGCAGCTTCGCAGCGGACACCATGCACACCATAGCCAGCACGGAGACACCTCGCAGCTGTTGGTAATGACGTTATATAATTAACTTATTGGAAGCTTTATGGGAACAAAGATACATTTGCACAACAAATATAGCTCACGCTTTAATGGTTCGTTAATAATGTTTTTCGCATTACAATTATTGACATGCGTTTCTCACCATATTCATGATTGATCAATTAACTTTACTCCTTAACAAGAGGGAAGACCAGACACTAACGATGAAGTGTGACATCGCCTGAACTCAGCCATGTATTTATACATGCTTGTACTTTTAGCACAAGGTCAAGCAGATGCTAGCTCTCACTTTTAGTTGTTTTTCTTTCGGTTTGTGAATGACTGGCGTAGTAAGGTAAGACTAGTTTCCTGTTACTAAGAACTTATCGAATTATTTTTTTATGATCTTTTTAAGAGGAAGGTATGATATTTCAAGTGTCTGCATTGCATGAACATTAAAAAAGAAAAAAAAAGTCAGAAGGGAATATATGATCATAGTTTCAGGTTAGATTAGACTATTACAGAGATTAGGTTGAAGAGGAATCTGGCTGAGCTCGAAACGTGAAGTTGGAATATTCCATTCTTGTTACAGCAGATTTCATTTTATCTCTGAAAACAAACAATTGTGTGTGCACTTATAATAATCGATATAGAAGCGAATTAGAAAAAAATACTAGACGATGGTAAAAGAAGTAACATGAGCCGAAATAATTATAATGCATTACTAAGAATTATTACAAAATAAGGAAAAGTTAAAGTAATATCACAATTAAATCAGCCATATCCATATTACTGTTATTGTAAATAATTAAACTATTGTTTCTGTTGTGATTGATGGAGACGTCATTAATATCATCATTAATAACATTATCACTTATATTGTTATTACCATAGCCTAATTATTACTGTTATGCCTCCAATGTTTTATTTAAATATTTATGATAATATGATCCTCATAATTACTTCTAGTGAACACAATATTACTAAAAGAATATTACTTTTTATATCCCAAGCCTTTTTTTCTTTTTTCATACAGAAATAATTAGATTGAACACATTTAACGTGTGGCAGGAGCAGGGTTGGATTTACTAATAGACACATAGTTCATTAGCCTAGAGCCCATCGCTATTTGCGGGCCCATTGAAACAAATTTGTCACAGTGCGGTAGCGTATGGCCTATAGGGGCTTATCAATACAAAGACCCAACAGTAGACCCAGTGATGAGTTTAACATTGGGCTCACAAGTAGGTATATCCTGTCTCGGCAAGAAGAAAATACTACACACAAAATGTATTTTGCAAGTTGTTTTTATTATATCCCAGTAAATGACACAGTGTAGCCAACGCTTACCGTTAAACAAACATTTATTTTTATTTTCAGAAACTGACTATTTAGACAGCTTTGTCGTTAATTAAATCTGTAAAATATGTAGTTCAATGCTAATAATGCTTCCCCTTGAGCAATTTTCATTGGGTTGTATGTGGAAAATATCGTTCCATAATTCCACAAACAGTACTCTACAATAATGTAGAAATCGTTCTCTGCATACAATCAGGTAAAGGTTGATATGAAGAATAGGTTTCATTTATTTTATTTGCAATTCGGATATCTTTACTAATTCTTGGATTTAGTTATGCAGTAAATATTGTTTGTGCTTGTCTTGTAAATGTTAAACTATCAACCATGTTCGGTTAAGTGATGTGATTATTACAGCTCTTACTACCATTAGTACTGCAACAAAAACCTGCATATTATCATCAAACTATTTTAATGTATTTCTTCTCCACTTATATTTAATGAATGCAAGACACTTTCATGACTAATAAAACTGGGTTTCAATAAAATTGTATATGAAGGATATGTTTATTTAATTAACATTGGTCTTTGGGAGGACTTCATTACGGAACTTGCGCTGAGTAAAAGCTTTATGGAGCATTGTCTCACTTGCTCCAGCAGCATAAAGCTTTAGTGGTTTGGTGAGCTGTATTCGCTAACAGGGGGACTGACGTGGGCTACTTCGTTGGGCCCTGTGTACTCCTCATCAACGGTTGGAACGGGAGCAATGTATTCTTCTTCAACGGTTACAACAGGTGCCACAGGGGCAACAGGAACATTATATTCTTCGTCAACGGTCACAGCAGGAGAGACGACAACGGGGCCAGCCTCGATACCTGGACCAGTGTACTCCTCTTCAACGGCAACGATAGGCACGACAGGTCCAACAGGACCAGTACTTGGTCCAGTGTATTCCTCTTCTACAGTGGCAGGAACATTATATTCTTCGTCAACGGTCACAGCAGGAGAGACGACAACGGGGCCAGCCTCGATACCTGGACCAGTGTACTCCTCTTCAACGGCAACGATAGGCACGACAGGTCCAACAGGACCAGTACTTGGTCCAGTGTATTCCTCTTCTACAGTGACAACAGGGGACACGGCGGCAACTGGGGCAATGTATTCTTCTTCAACGGTCACAACAGGTGCCACAGGGGCAACAGGAACATTATATTCTTCGTCAACGGTCACAGCAGGAGAGACGACAACGGGGCCAGCCTCGATACCTGGACCAGTGTACTCCTCTTCAACGGCAACGATAGGCACGACAGGTCCAACAGGACCAGTACTTGGTCCAGTGTATTCCTCTTCTACAGTGACAACAGGGGACACGGCGG